AGCCTATTGATAAACAAATACCAGAGAAGGCCTGATAAGACAAAAAGTCCAAACTGGCCACTTGACTCTGGGGAAGTATGCATGGTAGACAAGTGTTAAACATAAACCAGAAAATGGACATAGTGCAAAGGAAGAGCAGGAAGGGAACTGGGAACCAAGCAGAGGTGGAGGAAGCAGCCTGTGGAGGAAGCTGACTAGGAAAGTGGTTGAAACAATTACTCAGGAAAGAGATACCTGAACCAGAGCTCAGGAGGATATACCAGCAGGCTAGTAACTTATAAAAACTTATAAGTTCTTATAAAAACTTATAAAACTTATAAAAAGTTCTTGTGGATGTCCATGGTCTGTTCTGTAGCCTGTTGCTGTCTATGGGAGGTGTTGCTATAGATGGGTCACGTTGATCTGAATGGCCTGTGCTGCCTCCTGAGGCCAAGTTGATGTCCTTGGTTTATGCTGTCACTAAGGGCTGTGATGTGTCCTTGACCTGTGCAGTGTCAGAGGGTAGTGTTGATGTCTGTGGTCTGTACTGCCACTGGAGACCATCATGAGATCCATGGCATGCGTTGATGCTATAGACCATGTGGATGTCTGAGGTCCATGCTGTCACCAGAAACCGTGTGTATGTCCATGATCTGTGCTCATACTGATTCTAAAGGGCAAGGAAGCTATTTTTTGCCATGGTATTGATGACTAAAGACTCACAGTTGAGAAGGAGGGACATAGAAGTCTTCTGTGACAACCACAACTCACACGCCCTAAAAAGCAATAGCCTAGACAGAAAGTCATGGAAGGTAACTCTTAACAACTGTGATAAGGATGCTGAAGTATAACTTTCCACAGCTGATGGCTTCTGGTGGGGATGAGGATGGGGAAGGACTCAGTTATCTTTAAGGGGCTGGCCACTGGGTGTTTGGTCATGCTCCCAATGAGTATATGGGCAACACAAATTGGACTTGTTTTCTTTTTCTTCTTTGGGGGAGTCACAACAGTATGGGTGATAGACCTGAGAGGACTGAGAAGTGAATAAACTTGAGGTTTGTGATGTGAAATTCCCAAATAACCAGTAAAAATATTATGAACCATATTGTTCTTGTATAAACCAGGTACTATGCAGTTTTTCCTTAATACAGATGGGTGACACCAAAGACAGCCTATGTTCCCAGAAGCCAGCTTCACCCACTCATCCTCAGTTTGTTAATTAAAAGAGCCATGTTAGGGCTGGAGAGATGGCTCAGTGGTTAACAGTACTTATTGCTCTTGTAGAGGATCTTGGTTTGGTTCCCAGCACTCACATGGTGTCCCAAAGCCACGTGAAACTCCGTTCCCAGAAGATCTGACACTTTCTTTTGGACTTTTTGGGCACACATGTGGTACTCATGCATGCATGTAGTCAAACAGGTATATAATATAACTAAATAAATTAACCTAAACATATTTTTCAAGACCCAGATTAATAGTGGATAATAGAAAGAAGGGCAAAGACATCTAACACATTCCCTTCCCAAGTCTATCTACCAGGAGCTTAAGTGAGATTAAAGTTTAAATAACTGGCCAAGGATGCTACCTATGCAGTCCTGGTCAAAGTGTTGTCCCATCCACCACCTGACCCTCATCAGCTGGGCTATATTGTCAACCTGTAAAGTGGTATGTCAAGTTGTTAGAACTGTGAGAAATATCCTTCTGGGGAGAAAAGTCATCCCTCAGCTAGGGCCTTTTTTTCCGCTCTCAGTATGAGATGCCTGGAGAAATTCCTATGTCTTGGGCTATAGTCTTTCAGTAGTCTGGTAGATTGAGAGACACAAATGTACCTTTACAAGGATATGGATGTCCTTCTGTATGCTTTGAATATGTGTTGCTTTAATTGGTTGATGAATAAAGCTGTTTTGGCCTATGGCAGGGCAAAATATAGGTAGGCACGAAATACAGAGATATGGAGAGAAAGAAGGTGGAGTCAAAGAGACAGACACCATGTAGCCTTAGAAGGACTAAGATGCCATAACATTACAGATAAGCCATGGGCACGTGGTGATACACAGATTAGTGAAAATTCGTTAATTTAATTGTGAGAGCTAGTCAGTAATTAATATTAAGCTTCTGAGTATTTATTAGGGAATTGGTGGGTGGGAGAGAAATCTCCATTTACATTATAATATCTTTTTGTTTCTGTCAGGCTTGTCACATGGGGACTTGTGGTCCAAATGTGACAAATGAGGAAACCAAGATGCAGTCATGGAAAGAAGAAACTGAGCATTCATAGCTTTATCTGCATAAGATGCTGTCACCAAACCACATTGTGAACGTGTAGTTCAACCTTACTGTGTGCCTTCAGGTCTTCATAAAAAGGCAGCAACTGCCCTCTACTGTTGACAGGGCAAATGACAGTCTCTCACTGTAAGACATGAGCTGTGGGGAACTGCAGAGTTCTGCCTGGCCCAGTACCCTGTAATCTTGGGATTGTAGTGTCAAAGTCAGGGAGTGAGACTAGAGTCTTTGTAAACCGGATAAAGTATTGTTGGTTATCACACCCAAACGTGCTCCTGAGCTCATGAATGCTCCCCCTCCCACCAAATCAATGAACTCAGGACCATAGACCCCATTATTTTCACCCTTGGGCTGATGCTCTGCTTTGGGGCTTCAGAAATAAACATTTTTCCTCTAGCTCTTCAACATTTCAGAGTCACATTAAAAGAGCATCTAAAGAAGTATATGTAAATGCAATTTCAGTTTGTGGGGCAATGCTAAAAATACAGATACATTCAAAGAATAGAATGGCCAACACTTTTTACTCAACAGACAAGCACAGACACTGTATAATATCTTGCTGTATTTACTGCCAGGTTTTAATTTTTGTTTTGTACACAGATGTGATTATATGTGTTACATGCCATGGTATTTTATATGACCTTGATATTGCCCAGAAGTTTTTCCATATGATTGTTCTAGTTTGGTCATAGTTTGATTACACATTTAGATAAAAACAACTAACTGTTATCTATTGGGGATGATGCATCAGCCTTATCCTTTCATGTTGAATTCAATGCTGGCATATGTACAAGAATGACTGGTTCCTGGTGAAGTGAGGAAGATGTACAAAGTGTACATTTTGTGTGTGTGTGCTTGGGTATTGAATATAGGATCTCACCCATATTGGTCACATGGTAGACCACTAAACTATATCACCAAATATATGTTTTCACTTAATTTGAGGCTGGCCTGAATAAATTTATAACCCTTTGTAATCCTCCTGCCTTAGTCTCCCAAAGTTTAAAGAATTTGATTGATTTTGTTCAACTCTCAGTCCCTTTGACTTATGGCTCTGAAAGCTAGTGTCTAACACTCATACATCAAGGTCATAATTCAAGGACAGTATCAAGATCATATAAACTACCGTGACATCTGTGTACAAAACAAAAATAAAAACCTGCCCATTTAACTATGACTGTTCTTGGAAACATTAATGACCTTTTCCATCATGGCAACAAGCCATAATTTGAGGTCATCTCACATGTGAGTACACCTTATGGATCCAAGTTATGTCATTCTTTCTGCCATTTTACCAGCTGCCCAACTTGCAACTTCTTGGCAATTGGATTTTGTCTTTTCTTTCCCAAGTATTCCTGAGCATTTCCCAAATTTTGGAGCACATGTATACCACTACCTGCCTCCTGTTACACATATTACAGGGATCACTGCAGCCCTTCTGAAAATCCCCCTTGCCTTCCGAAGTCAGTTTTATGATTCCAGACTTTCTGATCATCAGGGAAAAGCGGAAGGAGGGGCAATAGGGTAAACCATAGACAAGAGCCATTTGAGATTTCTTGGTGACCTTTGGAAATCATAACCCCATGCCAGGTAACTGAAATATAATTAGATGCTTTCCAACACTCCCCTACTCCAGTATTTTATGTTATACTAACCTGTTCACACTCAACTTTATGCTTTTGTCTTATCTGCACTAATCTGTCTTGTGAAATCTGCTTACACTTTTCCTCCCCCTTTCTTTTGATGCATTTTCTCTTAAGTTTTATTTAGGGAAGTAAAACATACAGTGATAATGTGTATCAGTGTGAGAAAGAGAGAGGGGGCATGGAAGAGGGCGAAAGACAGAAGGGGCAGTGGAAAGGATGTTTGCATGGGAAGAGCCATTTTTCTTAGGCTCTTCTCAGGGCAAGCACCATTTTCAGCGGACACACAGTGGAACTTAAAGAGGACTGACTGAGGTAATGCAGCCAGAGTGTATGTTGCATGATTTTGGAGATCTAATCATGTGTCTCAATTTCTGTGTTAAGAATTCTTCCTTTGGCAGGGTGTTGGTGGTGCACACCTTTAGTCCCAGCACTCGGCAGAGGCAGAGGCAGGTAGGGCTCTGTGAGTTCGAGACCAGCCTGGTCTACAAGAGCTAGTTCCAGGACAGCCTCCAAAGCCACAGAGAAAAAAACCAAAAAAAAAAAAAAAAAAGAAAAAAAAGAATTCTTCCTTTGTGTGTATTTGGTAGATATGTTTGAGGTGGGAATGTGTTTCAGTGTTTGGCAGTATGTGTTGTGGATATCAGAGAGGAGAGATGGATAAATAACAAATAAGCATGTTGAAACACACAGGCACTGCTTCTTTGAAATAGTGTTAAGAGGGGCAACTCAACAGAATAAGGACACTTTTAGGACAAAGACTTCAGAGTCATTGATGAGGTGGGGCAGGCACCACTCACCCTTGAATGTAACCCACTCAGTGGAAGAGAAACCCCTGCCACCGCTGTGGCCTCCCAAAGTAATAGACACTGAGTGTCCTTGAATAGTCTGATACGAATGTGTTCTCTATGTGTAACATGAACACACACACACACACACACACACACACACACACACACACACACACACACAATCACAAAATTGGGCATCTTTTAGCTATAGACCACCTGACCAGCTTTTGTTGTACTACTTCCTGCTTCATACTGAGAAAACAATGCCAGTTCAATAACCCATTGACACACAGACAGTCAGGTATGGAGTTAAAAGGTATTTAATTGGAGAAGAACATTTAAAATTCACTTGTCTCACTCCCTATCCCACTTCAGATGATCCTAAACCATGGGAAGATTAACCAAGACTTTGGGCCATGTTGAGAGACTCAGGAAGCCCCGAGAATGAATGGGAGAGACATCTTTTTAGGTGGTGCAAAGAGGGAGGGATTAAGACCTAAGGTCACAGCATGTGAAGCACAGGGCAATTGGATGAACAAACAGAATGTAAAGGGGCCTTGGCATCCAGGGATCAGGTCTTCAAGGCATGGCTTCGGATGACATTACTTCTGTTTTGTCTTCTGCTGGCATGGCTCCGGAGTGACATTTGAGGGGCATGGCTCAGGAACAACTGGGTGGCAAGGCTCAGGTGCCTTGGGGTGGCAGGGCTCAGGCACCTTAGGCTGGCAGGGCTCTGGCACCTTAGGCTGGCAGGGCTCAGGCACCTTAGGCTGGCAGGGCTCAGGCACCTTAGGCTGGCAGGGCTCAGGAACCTTGGGGTTGCAGGGATCCTTGGTTTTGGGGCCACAGGGTTCCTGGGGTGGTGGCTGGCAAGGCTGTTTCACCTGATGCTGTTGCAGCTGAGGGGGTGCAGTGCAGGGCTGCTTCTGCTGGTGGGAACTCATGTTTAGATAGCACTTGGTCCTGGAAACAGAAAAGCCAACTTAGTGATTCATTGAACGAAAAGGTAACTTTAATGTTAAGTAAATTTCATTTCAGGTCCCTGTAGAAGAAAGAGCCTCTCTCCATGATGACTTTTACACTTGAAAGTGAAACATATGTCTTAATTTCTGGACCTTTTCAAGAGAATGAGCCAAAGGGTAGTTTACTCTGGTCCATTTTATCGGATTTCTTCCTTACTCTCATTCTCCCTGGTCATGTGATATGCATAATTGAAGATGCTCTGAGACAGGAGTGAAAAGAGCCATGTAGAATGACATATGCGTATGAAAATCTCACGCTAAAACCTATGCCTTTATGCTAACCAAAAACATTAATAATAAAAGAGAAAGCAACAAAAATGTCTCAAAAACCTGGCTTCTGAGATGCTGTGAGTCCACACACCAGAAAAATCTGGAGATCAGTGCTGCCCAAGGGCAGCAATCAATATACCAACTTCTTTGTGAACTGAAGCACAGTATGACTTGCAGGGTGGCTGTTTATTAATCCACACCTGTGTGGTTTTGCCTTTTCTAGTCTATGCTCTCACAGTTTCCTATGGATTTTCCCATTTCCATCTCTGCTTACCAAATGCTCTCCCACCACAGTTCATGTTCTATGCTATCACTCAGGGACTGCCATTGGCCACACATCCTCAAGTGCATCTGCTTCCCACCATGACTTGTTGCTCTAGTGCTGTCTATGCATGGCATCTCAATTTCTTGTGTGTCACCTTCTCTGCCAAACTAGAAGTTTGGTAAGCTCCAAATTGACCTGAAAAAATGCTTGGCATATCCACTTAATGAATTAAATTTCTATACTGAGGTTCCTACCAGTGAGAACTGCAAGTAGCTCTGAAAGCTCTCTGGGCCTAAACCTTAGCCTGTGTCTTACTGTGATCTTAGGTGAACATCTGAGCGGATTCTTCCTTCCCCTGCCCTGATCTCTGATTCCATGGCTGTCTACCAAGGTGGTCCACTGAACCATCTCCCTTCAGGTCCAAACTGTGATACAGTTTAATCAAGCCATTCTAGTGTTCTCTAGCTCTAGATAACACTCCACATCAACTCTGTCACAGACATTAGCTTTGTATAGTTTCCCATAGTGAAAACCAGGCAAGAATTTCAAATCCATTGCAAGCAGAGACTTACCTTATGTGCAGAGATGAGCAGACTCTCTGTTAGTGGGATACTGTGTGAAGGCAATGGCCAGCTGGGCTTTTATAAGAAGGGCATCTCCAGGAAACAGACTTGCCCCAGCCGCTCTGTTTTCATTTCTTACCAGTTGCCCATGACTCACCCTCCTCCTCTAGTTCACCCTCTGACTCAGCTTTTGTGATGGAAACCACCCAGCTGACATAATGACACTGACAGTCTGACAATGATGTCACCTGGGTTCCCTGTCACCCTCCTCCTCAGGCCCAGGTGTCATGCTTGTGTTTGGAGAGGGTTAATGAGCTGGCCTGGAGGAGGACTGAGGTGGTCCTGGCACCTGCTGTCTTCCTTAAGAAGGCAGAGTAGTGTGTGCATGACAACAGTAAAGGGAAGAGGAAAGAGAAGGAGGGTGGGCGTTTGCTGTCTCTTAGTGAAGGGTGGGTGCTGGAAATACAGAAGTAATCAATTATAGACTCTGCAAACTGTGTGGATGGTTCAAAACTTCTGTGAATTTCTTATACCTTCTCTCACCTCCATGGAAATGTACACATTAAAACTTATTTGCTTTTCATCCCCCAACCCCACCCCTTTCTGGCCGGTCCCTAACCTGGGAAAACCTGCTTTGCTTCCTCACCACACCTTCTTCCCCCCTTTCCCCACAGCCTGTTTCTGAAATTTTCAACTGCTAAAGCTGATCAGCTTTCCAGGGCAGCCTTTCTTCCCACTCCACCCAACCAGTTGGCTGTGGCTGTTTCCGCTTTTCTAGCCCAGCCGACTTCTTCCCCATTCTTGAAAACCTGGAAGCCTTTTGTAACCACCTTCATCTTAGGGCCAAGATTGGAGATTTGAATAGCTCTGTGAAGAGCTAGAAAGAATCCTGCTTTGTGGTGAGCCCTCAACTGTCACCAAGATGAACCAGTGAAGTAAGAATATGGCCGCTAGATATTTGCAAGGCTCTGGGGATAAACCATAGATTTTTCTAGATCTGCAAGAGGTAGGAGTGCCATGAATTAGAAGAGGGAGAAACAAGATACTCAAATAGCTCAGCCTGTGAAGTGGGGACCAGAGACTTTCTTAAGCCAGCAACCACAATGGTTGAAATTGGTGCAGTGTCTCCCCCAGAGGGGTTCCACATCTACCATGGAAAGTGACTTCATCTGCAGAGAGCTCCTTGGACAGATAGGACACTCTATCAATATTTGTTACATGAAGAAGAAGAACATATCACCATGGGAACATTGGTTTGAATAGGCACAGAACTGGCCCTTGAGAGCACTCAGGGGTACTGGTGCAAAGAAGGCAGGAAAATACTCTAGTCCTTGAAAACAACAGTTTCAGGTTTATTTATTTGATCTGTTTGAGTGTTTTGCTTGCATGTATGGCATGTATGTATGTTTATGAATTGTATACTGGGACCACGGAGGTCAGAAGAAGGTGGCAGATTCAATGGAACTTGAGTTAGAAATAGTTATGAGTAACCACATGGGAGCTGGAAACTGAACCCAGGTCTTCTGCAAGAACAGCAAGTGTTCTTAATCATTGAGTCATCTCTCCAGCCCCTAAAAAGACTATTTTTCAATTCAGTAGATTTGACTCTGGAGGAGGTTCTAAGATAGCATAATGGCATGGCTAGGGTGAGACACATTTGAACATATGCCACAGAGTATGTTTCTTTCAAGATGATCACTTTTGGGGGATACTCCCTGTCAAGAGGACTGTGCGTTTTGCGGGCATATGAAGAAACATTCCCTTAGCCCTGGCACTAGCAAATTTTTCTGAGCAACATAACATGAGACTGATGTCACTGATTCAAAACCACATTCCAAACACTATCTGTTAAAGGGTGTGGCATTTGGAACATCTAAATTACCTTAAAACTCATGTGTAGATGGCACCTCTTCTTCATCCCACACCTTTCTTTCCTCCCCTTTACAAACACACACCTTAATGTTTTTGAAGCACTTTGCCAGCTGCACAGCTAGATCACCTCTTGTGAACTCAAGTCAAGATCATCCTTCTACTCTGTCCCAATAGCCACTGGCTCTCATTCATGGAAACTTGTTACTTGGTATCATATCTGCTCAGTAATTGGCAATTGTAGAATTGAAACATGAATGAATGAACAAGGAAGGAAGGAAGGAGGGAAGGAAGGAAGGAAGGAAAAAAGAAAGAAAAAAAAGAAAGGGAAGAAGGAACGGCATTTTTTCTAAATAGAGTTTGAAGACTTCTTTAAATTCTTTTTCAGTTTTATTTATCTTATGCATATGAGTGTTTTGTTAGCGTGTGTGTGTGTGTGTGTGTGTTAGCGCACACACATGTACACGCGTGCATGCACTGTGTGTGTGCTTGATGGCCACAGAGGTCAGAAGAGTGTGTTAGGTCCCTTGAAATGGGAATGAGGTTGTGAGGTACCATGTAGGTGCTAGGAACCAAACCCAGGTCCTCTGTAAGAATAGCAAGTGCTCTTAACCCTGAGCCCTTGCTCCATCTCTAAGCCTTCTTCAGCAATGTCTAGGAAGTCCCTTATAAGAGAGCATCCCCCTGGGATGGACCTTTCAGGATGGTCTGAGGAGAGGTTATGGAGACTCAGCAAAGCACATATGATGTTTCTGTTGCCTTCCCCTTCCCTCTATGCCATTGTTACCTAGTGTTATTACCCACCTTTCTCTGGGCTGGTGGCAGAGCCATCACCACATCTGAATCCTAAGCTTCTTTCTTCACCTCAGTCAGCTCTAGTTGGGCTTAGGTCTGTTTCTCCCCAAGTTCCCTTCCCCAATGTCAGAAACTCCAGAATGAAACACACTGATAACTTCTAGAGAAGCCTACTTTCATCTTCTCTGTCCCCTGGTGCCACAGAGTTGGAGAACTTCCCTGAACTCCATGGATACAAAGGGGCCTTTCTCACTGGGTACCTTTCTCACAGGTACCATTATCAATGGGTACCTTTCTCACTGGGTACCCTTCTCACTGGGTACCTACCCTCAGGTAGACTCTTCTTCCCTGCTCAGTCTGTGTTGCCTTCACTTCAAGGCAGACTATCTCCAGGCACTGGCATTTGCTCTTGACACTTGTACTGGTCATCCTATTTGTATATCTGAATCCTATTTAGTGGATGAGAAAGTTTTCTCCCCCTCAGTGTTCTTAGTTTCTCTACCACCAGGGCCAACTTGAGTACAACCTCTTAAACTGTTGTACAAAGAGATGGGAAACTGGCCAGCTGTGGAAGATGAAAATATCACACAGGATTTCCAGTCTTACCTGGGCTCTCCCACTGGCTCCAGAGGCCTGCTGTCTCTCCAGGATAAAAGCCAGCCTTTTTCATCCCAGATGCTTGATTGGCCACTGAATAGGACAGGAGGGTACCCCTGGGCTGCCCCTCATTCACAAAGCAATGCGGATTGACTACATGGTGGTCAGGCCTTCCCCAGAGTTCCAGGTTCAGTTAGTTACTCCCTCTACTTCACCTCTCGGGGTGGGGGGCAGGAGTTGTCATCAGAATTGTATGAAGAAGGTCATGTGCAGTTGAAATTCCCATCCTTTTTCTGTGAGTCTGTGCACTTAAAGTACATTAACACAGAAACACCGAGTCTTAAAGAATATAACCTTGGACTGCTCTTTGATTGCCAGGAAGAAGAAGGGAAACCAGAGTGCTGGCTTTTCAAGTGAGGCTGTCAGGAATTTTTAAAACCTTTGCTATGGAATCTTGAGTCTTCGTTTGAAATAAAGCAGCAGAACCAAGAAACACCAGCTCCTCCAGGCATTGGATTCTCCTGAGCACTTGGCCCAAACAGGCAGGAGAAGATAGGGTTGCAATCTTGGGCAAGGGAGCCAGCACATGAACTCAACACTAAGGAGTTACTACACAACCCCTAATCCTGGACAGGGGAAGAGCAAAGTGAGACAGGGACACATTTCAGGATCCACAGCTTGTTTCTCAGATAATTTGGCTAGTACCTGGGATTCTGGATTTTCTTTCCTCTTTACTGTTTCCCTGGGGACAGACCAATTTTAAATCTTCCTTTCATTTTCCATCCTTGAGGAACTGAATAGAAATTTCAACCTAATTTTTCTTGCTTGAGGGTGGTGTAAGAGAAAAGCAGACTTAGTTAACTTCTGGTCCAGCCCTTAATGCCTTTATTAGTTGGGCTACCCTGGACAGTTACCTCACCTTTCTCTTCGTTAATATTCGTTAATATCTTGAAATGAAATTTACTTTACTCATGGAATTGTTACAAAGATGAAATGAAATGATGCTTCAGATACTTCCAACACATCCTCCTGTTGACAATACTCCCTCCTCCTTCAGACAGCCATCTTTCTTCTAATTTTCTTGACTTCTGTGATTGTGTTAGCTCTCTTACTTATTTTTGTCCAACTTTCCAGTTTACTTTTTTTCAACTCTATCTCAAGTTGTTAGGTAGTGGCAATGGCTATATAATCTTTGCTTTGTAAGAATAGGCTAAAGTCCATGTTAATCATTCCATGACCTGAGCATGCCCTGGTTAAAGAAACAGAGACAGGCAAATCACCAACTTTCCAGGAGTTCATAAAGATGAGCTGTACTGTGTTACAGTTCCTTGATAACTATGTGTATGTAGTCCTATGGAAAGTCACTCTTAGAAGATGCTATGACCAGGTCATGACCTGATCACACATCTCCACTGATCAGAGATGGGATCCTCTGTGTATGGATGATCAAAAGATATAGAGAACTACACAGAACATTGGAAGCTGAGATGGTTCAGGCTGATGCCCTCTCCCTCGTAGCCTTCATTACCCCATGGGATGATGAAGGACAAACTTAAGGCTAAAAGTTTTCTACAGTGAGTATCTGTCATTAAGTAACCATGAGGGCTCCATGTCATTTGTATGGTTGCTGTTCCCCTTTCTTATTTGTGCAGTTGTGCTTGCTCATCAAGTTCCCACAGAGTACAGGACACCCTCTGTAGAACACGTTTAAAATCCAGAATCTGTGTGTTACTAGCTATGTTTGTGACGCCAGAGAGTTTCTGAATGGCAACTGTTACCATTATCTTAGCCCTGATCCCCACAACAGCAGTGTAAGAAGCTGGCATGGAAACTGAGACACAGTCTCTTGAGAAGTTGGGAGCAATCAGGTGACAGAAAAGATGCAAATGCAACACTGTGAGGCCA